CTTGCTCCCGTATTGATGGATTCCATATGAGCGAAAAGTTGAGCGGGTAATAACTATTAGTTGTTGACTCCGGTATTTGCAAGTGACAGAAAAGACGTGCCTACATGAATTGGCACCCTGGCCTTTCTGAAATATCTTGGAATTTTGCAGCAAAATGACGAATATCAGAATGCCACTTAAGTAATCCGACCCAATTAAAGACGCCTTTTAGAACTTCGGTCAACATTTCATGAGACCGGGCATGGAATACACTGCAATCAAATTTCCTCCAATAATCATTATTACGTTGGGCATGGCAACTAGTCTAGTGCGTAACGTGATTATGGCTTTCAAAACCTTGCTGCCAGCATCCGATGCAACTTCCATTTTTTGTACCGTTTGGGGTTCGGTTGACTATAATTTGAAGGATGTGCTTGATTTCGCTGATATGGGCCTTACAGGGATAAGTTTGCACGAGGTCATGTATCGAGAGCGCAGTCGGTGATTAAGAGATTGAAAGAATTAACAGATGCAATCGTAAGCATACAACGTTCCCGTTATCAGGAGCTTTTTCCAACGTGTACGGATGTCAGCGAATACTTTGCGATTGTGAATGTTTTTGATCGACTACCGAGTTCTTTGGTTGTATTTATCAAAACCTTCAAAGTAAGATGCTTCTCGAAAGCATTTACCGACAGCGATTTCCTGAACATTTTCTCAAATGTGAAATGGCCGTCTGGGTCGTATTTATAGACTCTCCCGAACATAAAACCTCATCACCGACGCAAATGAATTTCCTAAACGGTCTACATTGAATATGCTCTTGAGCCGACGAATGTTCGCGGATTTAATCTTTTTCCAATGTAAAGTCAAGCACAAATGAGAACATTTTACTTGTTTTTTTTTACTTCTTAAAATGGTAACATTTTTCGCCACAGACCAGGTCACTTTTTATTTATATTGGAATTATTTTCGGGATCTTGGGTTGCTTGCTAGTAGTTTCTACGAAACTCTACTAGAAATATTGAAAAAAAAACAGTAAATGAATGCGATGAGCTAGCCAATTTCGTTCTATTTAACTTGGATATAGAATAATGTCGAAATGAGTATTAATTACAACCACGTTTTTACCAACAAGTGGCCACTGGCATCGATGTTTCGCCCCCAACCACAGCCCGTACGTTTATTGAGTCGTCCTTATTAATTGCACTGACCGTGACGACCCGGGGAAATAGGCCTGCTACTAGTGTATGCGGTTTTTATATTAACTACTCAGGCAAATATAGTTACGTGCTTTTAAAACCGAAACATGCCTTTTCTTCGGGTGCAATGGTTTTATAAGGATACAGTGTACTGCGGAAAGATCGTAAGCGGATGCTTGTTTTATGTATCCTTTCTCTGAGATATAAGGTGTTCATCCAGGAACTAACTCGTACAACTACACGCCTAATGAAACTATTCACACACTATTTGACGAATCACCATCTGTATCAGTTAAGAACTTTTTTCACCAAAGAAGACCTCTATGTGAACTCATTTTCGATTTATGTTAACACTTATGTCGCCTCTTAATGTCACCAAGATGCGTTTCCTTGTAAGCTTGAAAAGTAGCAGTGGTTTCCGTAGCTGCGAGTAAGCTGTGTACTCAGTTAAGAGCTACACACCCCACCCCCTTGTAGAGAGTCGTAAAATTTACCCTGAATTATCAACTAATTTACAATGGTGGACATTTACCATTATTACTAATAAGTCCTCAAGAGCTGCTATCCTGGATGCTATGTCTCTCTGAATAACCAGGCATACATCCCGCCATTAGTAACACAGCCTTGGCGTTTACGATTATAGATTGCAAATTTATTAGCTGAGACTATCAAGAAACGTTGACTATTTAACCTAATGCCATTTGGAAGGACTCGTTTGGCACAAGGAGGACTGAAGAGCGTGCATATAGCCATATGAATACTAAAATTTACAAAAAAACTGAAACAGTAGGCGTTTCAAGTTAGTTAAGTACCCTAACTAATCGTTGTGATCGGGGGCAAACTACCATGCACGAACAGTCAAAGGGTAAGGTCAAATCACCTGATCAACAGCATCGTAAATCTGAGGAGTCGTCAGTGCGTTCCACTCGGTTAGTTTTGATTCGGATGATCGCAATTTTGTACCAGGAGTGCCGCCTATTTCACCGTAGTCTGGAAAGCAGAAAAATAATACCTTGAGAAGTTCTTGCGTTATAATATTTATTCGGCAAATACGCGAAAAGACAGGTCTAATCGGGGAAAAATATTCAGTTCGCAGGTTCCAGTGTTAGACAATATTTGAGACTTGGTAATTCTTGATCACGACAGTATTTCTATAAAAAATGATTGTCAAGTAAAACCTCCATGCAGGCTGCCAAACGTTCGGAATTCGTTCAAAACAAATTCCCGTCACAGCTTTTAAAAACTACACCGACGTTTTGTTGTCCCCTTTTAAGATCCGATTCTTCGGCGGAACCCACGAAAGAATGTTTGTGAAAAGGATTCACACGGCCCCGTTTGTCCTGCCAGAGGACGATCCAGCGTTTTTGCGCAAGTCACAAGCCGGGGCGCACAATATTCCCTCTGCCGTTTTTGAACGTGCATGGAACGAGGTACGCAAATTGCAGAGTAATCTAGACAGTGGCTATTACTCACACTCGTCCGGTGAAAGTGAAATGCCACCTTCGGATGACGAGTACTCTGACGAGATCTATCTTCGCCCCCGCCGTAACTCCGCTCTGCACGGGAAGGATTTGGGTCATTCCGACAGCCCACGATCTTCTACCAACTCTTTCGGTGCGAAGGTCGACAAGCGCATGTGAGTAACTTACTTTACTTAATGAAAACTGCACTTTTTTACTTATCTGATGTCAGCCTAGCTGGGAACATTGCCGAACAGGTAAAAATCTAAGAATACGTACATTTGCAAGTAATTTTTTTCTATGTTTGGAAGGTGCCTTCCACTACCTTCATCCCACTCGGTGATCTATAGGTATGAGCAACACCGTATCTCCTCAATTTGATTGCGAGTTTGCCAAAAGTCTTCTGTTGTCCCGCGTTTTATTGTATCTCATTTCTAGGTATTACGTAACTTCCCTCACCAGGTCGTTAGTGAGCGACTTTTAGCAAAACCGCCACAACTCTTGAATCACCAAGGCTGTTTGGACGTAGTTTTCATGAGGTTTCTGGGGGGTGTTGAATAGAGGCGGGTCCTCAGCAGCCGCTGGGATTGTTTGTTCGAGGTTATCTCCTCTAGCATTTTGACTAAAGAAGCTAACCATAAGGCGGCGATGACAAGCAAACTTATTTAATGGCGGTTCACTGTCGCCATGTCACAGTGACGTCATTGGAATTTGCGCCATTCTATAAGGCTATGGGTGCGCCAGACCTCAGCCCTTCGCGCCCTGGCAGTACTGTCGATGC